CCAAATATATTATTCCATTTTATCAAAAATTTAGATTTTGTTACACACTGATGTTTAACATGTTTTAATTCTTTCAAATAAAGAAATTTATTCAAAATGTTGATTAGTTTTTATCCATAAAAAATATTACAACGCTGACTGATTGGTAAAAAAGTTCACCTTTAAAAACATATTAGTAAACTTGTTAATGATTTAACAAAGTTGTTGAATGAAGCAGACATTTATGATGTAGAAATTAAAGTTGGAGTAGACCAGAATAATGTCAAAACTTTTAAGGCTCATTATAACATCTTAAAAGCAAGGTCTTCATACTTTAAAGCAGCTCTATCAACTAATTAGGTTAAAAGATCTGAAGATGGTATTATTTTATTTGAGAAAGATAACACATCTTCAAAAGCATTTGAAATTCTTTTGATGTAAGATTATCAATTTAATAGCTTAACCTAATTATGAATTTGTTAAATAATTTTTTAATTTTTTTTTCTGAATAAAACACCTAATCTATTAAAATTACTTTTATTATTACTTTTAAAAATATATTTATAATGGAATTATTGATATAAATGACTTGGATTTTTATGAAATTGGTGAACTTCTTGAAGCATGTGATGAATTAGATTTCAATGAATTACTTGATGATTTACAAGGTTACTTAATTACAAATCAAAAGAATTGGATGTACTAGCGTTTAAACTATTTTTATCAAATTTCATCAAGACATTAATCATTTAGTATGCTTAATGATTACTTTAAAACAATTGATTGACAATAATAATCCGCAATTATTCTTAAAATCTTACGATTCAAATGATTGTGTAAAACTAATGTTCAAGTCTTTACTAGAAAAATTTAATTCAATATTAAATGAAATGCTTATTTGGAATTGTGCTATTCAATGGGGAATTGGACAACTTGAAAACACAAATTTTCAAAGTGTAATAAAAATGATTTTAAAGGGTTGAAAAATACACTAGAGGACATTATTATTCCTAAAAACGATTGAGTAATCACATTTTATCATATAAAAAGCTATTTTCCAATGATTTGTGGAATCATATTTTGGCTTATTATTTAACTCATCCAAGAAAACATATTTTAGGTTTATTACCAGTAAGAAATGGCTCAAAGACAATTAATTCAAAGCTCATGTTACTTTTTGCAAGTTAGATTGATAGACAAGTTCCACCATACTGTATATTTCATTCAAAGATGTCAAATAACAAATTTAAACTTTTATATTATAGCAAAAAAGATGGTTTATATTTCATCAAAGATGTAATAATAAAAAAACTCTTGTCATCAGCAAAATACAAAATTCAGATCAATTGGTTAATGGTTATAATCCACTTGATTGGAATGGAAATGGCATTAAAAATACAACTAAAGTCTTATATATTTAATATAGTAATTGAAGTGATATTAATACTGCACAATTTATTTCTGATATTGCAACCCTATTTGTTTACCTAATTTTAATGATTTTTGGTTCGTTTAAGTGGTAGGATTGAAGGCAAACCAAAGACTTATGGTAGCATCAATATAGTAAAAGGTAGTAGATTTGATGAATTGGAAGTTTTTCAAATAATTGTCAAAGAATAGATGAAAAATTATTATATAAAATTTCACAACTTATTTAACTCTTTAATTGGACTTCCTTTTTATTAACATCACAATCTGCTCTCTATAATGGATCTTTCTGTACTAGCTAAGCCATTCAAAAATTACTTAGCCGACTGACATCAATATATACAACTATACTACTTGATCCCTACTAATAATTAAAGGTTGGCCAAACCATTAGTCATCAGAATCAATCACATTGGCATTATTAATTAATGCTAATATTAAGGATTACACATCCTTTTATACCAAAGGAAATTTCAAGTGTATTTATACTTCTTAAAGTATTACAAATAATTTTTATCCAATAAAATAAAATTACTTTTACAAAATCATCTGCAATTAATACATCACATGGCAATCTAATAGCAACAATAAAGTCTTGGTTAAGTTGATGTTAAAATATGTACACACAATTCAATTAGAATATAACATTTCATAAAATTTTGGAAATTATCTGATCAAAAAAAAAATTTTTTTCCAAAGATTTGTGACAAAATTTCAACATTGGTCATAATTTTATGATAAATGAGGTATCAATAAATTTTTGTATTCTATCAGTGTTATTAATTACTCACAAATTTGAAAATACTCAATGTATGTAGTGCTTATCAAAATCATTTTTTGGATTGTAGGTAGTTAAATTAATGCCATTGTTAACTATCTTTCTCAAATCTTGTGGAGTTTGCTGGAAGGCACAAATATAATTTAATATAATAATTTGGTAAGATAGTAATTAAATAGTAAAATCTTAATAATTGTCTTACTGCTGGCACAAGCCTAAGATAAATGAGGTTTATTCCACTGTTCTAGCTAAGGCATCCCCTAGATGGAATAATTTTTAATTAAGGTGAAGGATGCTTTTCAGCAAAGGTTTGGTAAATGTTTTTACTAAGAGTCTGATTATTTATTGTAAAAGTGTTATGTGTCTTTATTAGCGATAATATTTTTGTTACAAGGTTACTATTGTGCTATTATTGTTATATCATGAACATGATGATTCTCACTTGGTCTAAAACCAAGTCCTTTTATACCTCTTGAGGTATTACAAATAACGTGACCTTTACAATGTTTTGTCCAATAAAATATTCTTATCAATCCTATTTTCTGTATTACTAGTATACATGGGATGGTAAAAAAGATAATATGTATTACATTTTTGGCAAAATAATTACCATCCCATGTACAATAGGAATCCTAATTAAAAGGCTTTATTTTTATTTGTTTTATTTGAATAGGAACCCTAGTTAAAAGGCTTTATTTTTTAATCTGTTATTCTATTCTATTAAATGATCATTTAGACAAATTGTCAATTTGTTAAAGGCTTTATTTTGATCCATCATTTCATTAAATGATTATTTGCAATTCTTTTCGATTTTTTATGTAAATGGTTATTTGGTTTTTTTTTTTTTTTTTTTTTTTTTTTTTTTTTAACTAGACTTCACTTCAAATTTATTAAACTTAGTAAAATATAACTAATACATGTTACATATAATGTTACCAAAAAAGAAATAATGACCCGCCACCCATAAATGGTTAATTGGTTAAAAGTCTTTTTCGTTATATTATTTAGGAATTTCCAAAAAAGGAATAAAATTCATTGTCTTTTTTGGTAATTAAATAGGGATCATGTAACGTTGTTCAAAAAACCGTTCAAATCGTTTAAACCGGTTTTATGAAACCAAACCAAACCCCCGTCCCTAATTTTAGGACCAATGTTATTATTATCAAGTTTATCTGGGCATGATTGTGCCATGTGGAGCCCTTTAAAGCAATTAAAACACTGTCCCTGAAATTCTTCTCTTATATTTATTTGGACATTCCTGTGCCAAGTGTCCAAAGTATCTGCAAATGTAGTACATATTGGCAGAACATGCCCATGGTGAATTTATATTCAATAATAACATGCCATTTGCAGAAGTTAATTGGTGTTGGTGTTGCCACTACTGCTTCTGGTGTTGCTATTGCTGCAGATGTTGCAGATGTTGTGTTGATGTTGATGCTAGTGTTCCATGTTGCAATCCAAAAAAGGAAACAAAATGGTTGTAAAGGCGGTTGATATCCTTAGTTGATGCTGACATTGATGATATTGATGCTGATGTTAGGGATGACAATGATTTTGTTAGTGATGGTGATAACAGCAATTGTGATGATGGACTCCAATGATCTTGATAATGATGATGATAACAGCAACTTTGATGATGATGATGGAATTTTTTTTACAACCTCTATCAGAACATCTAATGCCTTATCTAAAATTTTTAATTGGTGGTATTCAAAATTATCATTGCTGTTATTACTATTATTATTATTGTGGTATTCGATATTATTGTTATTAATATTATTCATGTTAAAAAAAAATTATTTTTTGTGAAAATATCTAACCTGAGATATATCGTGTCACCGGTATCACCAATGAATATCATCGCTTGAAAATTTGACCACGAGGCGCAGCATTTGATGTCTTTAGATGATACGCACTGTTCCAAATTTTCATCTTTTAGAGTTTCATTTTCTATTTCCCTAAGTCTGTATGATCATTTAAGTCAGTAGTAGCTAGAAACATTGATTTAGCATAAGTTGCAAACATAATAACTTACAATGCATAAAGAGTAAATTTTATGTAGTCCAAGTCATGATAGTTATGCTTATCATAATTTTTATCGAATCTTTCGAATTTCTTTAGATGATTTCTATCAGAAGTAATAAATAAATTGATTTCTGAAATACACTTATATTTATGCAAGTATTAAAGCATAATTACCTTGTCTACAAATTTTTTGAGATATTCAATAATATCATCTGATAAATTATGTATCATTGGAGCAGGAATACTAGAAAGTTCTTCCTCGTTAAAATGTTTTTTAACAATTTCATCATCAACGTCGATTATAAAAGAATGAACTGCACTAAAAAAATGCAACCTATAATTAATTTGTTCACAATAATAGCTATTGAGAAACTTATTCGAATGCTTACTTCTCATATTCTAGTTGAAGTCCAAGTTTATATAATTCTTCTTCGACAAATTTACCATTTGTCATATACCACATATTTGCTAGCATTGTTATCTGTATTTCTTTTTTTTTCGAATTTTTCAACCTTAAAGGCTTTTTAAAAACAATAAAGAAATGTTATTTGATCGACAAACGCATCATTGGCACTTGGTGTTGTACAAAGATTTTTTTTTTTGGAAAAACATTTATTTTTTGACAGACAAAACACGGTTCTCCTAAAAAAGACGTGTTAATAACTAACCAGAGGTACTATAATTTATTTGCATTGATATATATATTTTAGTTTATAAATATTTTAATTGGGATCAAAACGCGGAGCAGATCTTGCTGGGTAATTACAAGATTCTTATCCGGATTTTTTCCATGATGTCATTTATATTAACTTGTAAATGTGGAATTAAAACGGAATGTGAGAATAATAATAAGATTTTATAGTTCTGGAATATTATTAAGTAACTGATAAACTCGCAAAAAAAATGGGCATTTTTTTTCTTATAAAACATTTTATTTGTTAAATGTAACTTGATTGAAACATATTAATCTACTAATACGGAAATTACACGGAAATACATTATTATTATTATTATTACTAGTGAATGTCGTTACAACGGGAGTAAATTTATATCCAAAATGTCATTACAACAAGATTGTCATTATAACGAATCTCATTATAATGGGAGTGACTTGTATCAAGTTCTTTATCGCTAACTATAAATATTGTGAATTAATGCATTTTTTCTTGTTATGATGGGCTGCATGACCTGCTAATTCAAGCAATTCCGCAGTCGTATAATTGGTACTTTCATATCATTACATTTCACACAGTATCTTTTTTAAGATTCTTCTTTACACGTCGATCGGGAATATTAATTTGATTTGATTAGTATATGTTTAATTTATATATTTATGATAAATGTATAATGATAATATACTCCTGCTCTATGAGTTTGTGAGATTCTATTAAGGGTATGAGCTTATATCAGAGCGAAATAGTGTCACTTTGGACACTCCTCTTAGTAGTTGTTGTATTGGTATTAACAGTTTCAGTGGTATTGGCAGTTTCAATAGTATTAGTAACCTCAATTGTTCTATAAGATCCAAATTATATCAAATTTATATACGTGTGCTTTATAATGATATAATTTATAATTGGCAAACTAGAAATAAAATAATAATCTACCTTCATTATCATAACTGTAATTCTCATCACCATGGCCATAATTTTCGTTATAATCTTCATTGCCATATAGCTTGTAATGTCTATAAATGTGATGTCAAATTAATATTAAATTAATAAATTACTAATTCACTTACTTCTTCATAATTCTAATTCATTTACAAGTTCTATAATAATTGTTTTCAATATATTACCCTTTTCGTTGTTTAATTTGGTTTCAATATTACCAATATTATATCCATATTCTCGATTAATAGAAGTTTTTATATCGTTTATTATATTTTCAACTTTGTCATTATGAAATTGGACCAATATTAACTTTATTTGTATCTTAAAAAATTCGAGTTTATTAAAAGAAAATAACCAATCCTGGCGACCATTTAATGATATTTACGTGTTGGGTCGATGATGATGGTGAAAAAGAAATAAATAAATATCAAGTCCCAACCTAATTGTGACGACAAGTGGCGACAACCACCATTCTTTTTTTAATCAAAAATCTTATAATTAATAATGATGTCAACCTATAAAATATTCATTATTGAGATAAACGATCACGTCTTGCACTGATGGAATTTGTATGCACATTTAAAAAAATCTGGACAATTAATTCGTATCAAAATCGCGAAAAAAAGTACCGTAAAATCTCGAAAGATGGCACCCCTTTTTACAACTGCTTACAATTGTGCAAACGATTTTCAATTGTTTTAAAGTAGAGGGTGCTATCTTTGAGAGAGTTATCTTTCGAGACTTTATGGTATTAACGAAAAAAACTTTTTCTCGTGATTCATTAGTCTTATTATTGAATTTATATTTTATGATATTAATCTAGGATGTAGATGGTAATGCTTATGATTACTACCATTATTATTACCATTATTATTATTGTTATCAAGTATTAACCCTATACATGTTTGTTTCTTCATTTAGGGACGGCAGCCTACTAAGAATTGTAATGGAATTGATAACGGTCTGAACAAATGTCTTGATTTTTTTACATATGCTGAAGATTGAGAGTGCCAATTTAGAGATAAGCAATGGACCCTGGGCATCTAGCACAGAACTTGATCAACATGTATTAGATGACTGACTTCGCCTGTATAAATTCTCAAAGATGCATTCAAGCATATATATCGTTTTTTACAAAGGTGAATTTATCGAATTTAAGATATATCTTTGAAGATTTTCCTTTCATCCCAATCCATTTTTATGAAACATTGATGGAAATCAAAGTTCTGAATAGTATCGATGCATTCTGCAAAGTTGAACTACCACTTACTAGTCATTGCAACACGGACGATTTAATCAACAAGATGATCATATTGTGTGAAGTTTTGATGTCTCTTAAAAACACCATCAAACAAGGCATCAACAGGATTGAATTTTTAAATTCTTCGGTTGAAGAAAAAACCACTACACCATCACCTACACAAGTACTTGAATCCAAACCCTCTTCCGGAAATAGTGTATTTACTACAATTAAATTTCAATTTTTTAATTTTTTTTCTTTACAACTTTTATATAATCGAAAAAATAAAAAAAATAATATTAATCATTTAATTTTTGTGCTAAATTTTCAACCTTAGTGCGACAGTATTATTAAATTACTAAAAAAAAATTTTTAATTCCTTTTTTCGTTCTATACAAATTCCAGGATATTTATTAATATCAAAAATGTGCAATATTTTAATTGAACTGGTTACACATGACCAAAATATGACGCAATAGTAGTATTGATTTATAAATAGTACAAATTTTTTCCATTTCTGAATAATTGTTTTTATCGCGTTCCAAAAAAAGGGGAAGGAATGATCGTTTATTTTAGTTATTATTATTATGATGGTGATTGATCCGCAATTCTCCAAATTAAATTTTGATCTTTTTATGTTTATTATTTCTTAGAGCATATATGAAGGCGAAAATGAATGAAAGTCTATCCATTTTTTAATTAAATGCGTGATCATGTTTATTCAATTTTGTCCTGGAAATGTTGGTTTGTTTTAGTCACGGTTATATGAATATTATTTTATAGATGTTGAAACCTGCATGTGAAATTATCATATTCAAGAAAAACAAGAACTGTTGAGGTGAATATAAATAAGGCAAATAAGGATCCAGTGAACTACTTTGCATAATTGTAATTGAATTGTATATACATGCTGCCCAAATCCCAAATACACAAGGTGAATTTGGAACAGCCTGTCAAAGAATTTCCAAATCCCAAACTACATTGTACATCCATGGCGTTCTGTCTTCCAACCAATAAGTGCCCAGGATTGATCTATGTTTGGGATGTACAATGTAGTTTGGGATTTGGGATTCTTTGATTTCGTCAAAGTAACCGAAAGAAGATTGAAAAAGGTGTGATTGAGTTGACAGAAAATACTTGATTAATGGACATATCACAAATGCCCATTTTAACTTTCGCGAGTAAGTAAATGGTAAACCTGACATTTTACAATTTTTTTTTAGTGATACAAAAACAGCAAGCAAATTTGTTTCCTTGGATATTAATTGGAGTAGTGATTATTGTAACCATTTCCTACTTATTTTTCAAGATGAAAAAAAGAAAGGACAATAAAGAATAATAAAAAAACAATAGCAGACTATCATTTTAAAATATCCAAAATTATCTAGAGGCAGAATTTTAGGGAAAATATTAGAAGTGTAGTTTTTCAAACTATAAAAATATTTTAAACGATAAAAATATAAAGTTAATAAATATTTATCATTTTGCATCTGGTCACTCTATTATTAGCAAAGAAGGAATCGTTGGAACATTCATTATATTATTAGGTTGGTATATAGAATCAAAAATTCCTTTTGTATGCCCCTGAACCCCTGAATTGCCTTTGTGCGCGTCATTTCGTCATAAAAAAAGAACATGCCATTTTAATTTTAAAAAAAAAAAAAAAAATTTCTGTATAATTATAATAATTGTAATAACATTGTAAATTTATCTTTCTAAAGATTTAATAATAAAATTACATGAACAAGATATTGATTGCCTTTATTAAAAAAAAATTTTTTTTAATTAATTTAATATAATCAAAATTTTAAAACATCTATTTATTACTATATAAAAATTCCCCTGATATCTTTTTATAATGAGTATCAATAATTCCAAAAACTCAACTTTTTTATCGAGATCCTTAGTCCAAGAGCCTTCAAGTACTATTAATGGTGGTAGCAGTCCAGTAGTTTATGATGCATCGAGGTCTTCTGTTGCAGAATTAAGACGATTATCTACTTTATCAAGCAAAAAAGACTTATCCAACCTACAAATTCCCACAATAACGGAAAATGCAGAAGACGTTGCTGGTAAGTGAGATAAATAGACTGTAAATGACAAAAGACAACAACAATTGATTGGACATATAATATATTTTCATAATAATACACATAAGGTTTAAGAGGCCGTATTAGATTACAAAAAACAGAGGGCAAACGTAGTTCACGTAATTGGATGGATCAACAAAGAAAAAATCTTCAAGCATACGAATACTTATGTCACATTGGTGAGGCTAAAGAGTAAGTTAATGAGATAAAATGAAAAAGGATATCATTTTTATTATTTATTTTACATAATTAACATCAATTATATTTAATTAGGTGGATCGAGGCTTGTATTGCAGAAGAAATTGATCCAATTGTGTTATTGGAGGAAAGTTTAAGAAATGGAATAGTTTTGGCTAAATTAGCAAAATCCTTTGAGCCATCAGTTGTTCGAAAAATATTTATGGTATTTACTTTTATCAATGTATTTGTATGCATTTATGCGTAGCATTCTGTAACCAATTTTGAACTAACTTACAAATAATTGTTTATTAGGCTCAAAAATTACAGTTCAGGCATTCAGACAATATCAATTATTTCTTTGCCGCTATAAAAAAAATAAGATTACCTTTGGTAAGTCAATCAAAAAATAACAAATTCACACACACCATCTAATATTTATTTACCGTTAAAATTTTAAATGTTATCTTCTAGATTTTTTGGTTTGAATTAACTGATTTATACGAAAAGAAAAATATCCCCAAAGTAATTTATTGTATACATGCTCTGAGGTAAAATAAATAATAAAATTATCATAATTTTTTTTTTTCCTACTAGTTTATTTACAATTTAATTTACATTTGGTTTGATTTGATTTGATTTAGTCATTTAATGTCAAGAAGAGGATTAACACCTCGTATTAAAAATTTAGTGGGAAAATTAGAATTCACTGGTAATGAATTGTTCACAATTATTGACTGATAATGATAATTTCTCAACAATAAAATTAATAAATAGTAATAATTTTTCTTTTATAGACGAACAATTACATCATACACAAAGAGGATTGGACGCATTGGGTGTGGCAATGCCAAGTTTTGCAAATGTTGGAGTTGCGCTGGCAGCGGAATTGAATGAGCCTATAATTGAAAATGAGCCTGAACCACCTACTGAGCCACATGAATCTGAAGAAGAAAGTAGGTTTTCATTTGATTGTAAAATATTTTGCTTTTGTTTTTTTACAGAAATTTAATTTATAATCTATTATTTTAAATAGAAAGCGCAAGATTTTGGGAAGAAAATAAATCAACTATTATTAAATGCCAATCAATTGTTCAAACGCATTTAGCTCGCAAGCAATTATTAAACCGTAGAATGTTGCATCAGCAATCATTGCCATTCACCATCAAACTTCAATCACAAATTCGTGGTTTATTGATTAGGAATGAATTACATCAACGTATTAATGAGATGCGTGAATTAGAGTCATGGGTTGTTAAGGTGAGTTATTTTTATATTTTCCTTAAATAAATGGTTCAGTAAAGATTTCTTAATAATAGTAATAAATAACAATTATAAAATATCACCATAATTATTTTTATTTATTTATTATTTAGGTGCAAAGTCAAATCAGAGGTTTATTGTCTAGGAATTTATTTAAAGATAAATCGAAATATTTTGAAAAAAATATCGACAAAATCATTAAAATACAAAGTTTATATCGCGCCAAACATGCTGGCGATGCTTATAGAAGTTTAAGTAGGTGTTTAAGAGATTAAAATATGGCTTTCATTGAAATTTTAATCAATAATCTTATTTTATCTAACTATTATTGTTTAGCAATGGGCAATAACCCTCCCATCGGTACGATTAAAAATTTTATTCATCTTTTGAATGATAGTGATTTTGATTTTGAAGAGGAAATCGGTGAGATATAACATTAGCTTTGATGATTTATATGTTTATTTATTTAAGGAAAATACTAACAATAGTGAGATACATATTTTTCACAATTCAAATTTAAATACAGAGTTAGAACAACTTCGACAAGCAGTAATTCAACGCATAAGAGAAAACAATCAATCGGAAGAATTGTTAAATCAATTGGACATAAAAATTGCTTTATTAATAAAAAACCGTATTACAATAGATGAGGTTATTGCAATTGCTAACCCGAAAAAACGTAATAAGCGTTTATCACGACTTAATTTGCCTTCGGGTCCGTTCTCCTTACAATCATTAGATAAAGAGTCGAGACGTAAACTTGCATTGTATCAACAATTATTTTATATATTACAAACTCAACCAATTTATCTGGCAAAACTGTTTTTTATTTTAAACAAAACTAGTTTTCCTGAAAAAACAAAAAAGCTGGTCGAAGGTGTTGTTTTAACATTATTTGGATACGCACAAAATTCAAGAGAGGAGTTTTTATTGTTGAAACTTTTCCAGAAAAGTATGATGGAGGAATTAGAAAATATTGATTCGTTGCAAGAATTTTTAAGAGGAAATTTTATGTTTATGAAGTTAGTAGTACATTATAATCGTGGAGCAAAAGAACGCAAATTTCTAAGGGATTTGTTGAGACCATTGGTGGAACAAATAATGAATGATGATAAAATAGATCTTGAAACAGATCCATTAAACCTCTATAAAAATCTTATCAATTTAGAAGAACTTAAAACAGGATTACCATCAAAGAGGCCTACTAATATTGAATTTCAAGAAGCATTAAATGATCCAGAAACAAGGACGGTTTTCATACATCATTTACAAAGATTAAGAAAAGAGACGGAAACCTTTTTAACAACAATCACCAATTCTATTGAAAAAATGCCATATGGCATCAGATATATTTCCAGAGAATTGAAAAGAGCTTTAATGAATAAATTTTCGGATGAAACAGAAGATGCTGTAATGAAAGTTATTGGCCATTTGATTTATTATCGCTATTTAAACCCTGCAATTGTGTAAGCATTTAAGAAAGACTATATATGTGTCAATAAAATATATGTGACTTAAGTTAATTTATTTTCTATATTTTATTATAGAGCACCTGAAGGATTCGATATTATAGAAACTGTTGTTAGTCCAATGCAACGCAAAAATTTGGCAGAAGTATAAAATTTATTTAATATTTAAACTTGTATATGTGTGTATATACATACATACATGACTTAATTAATCGGATCTGATTTTAAAAATTTTTAGATTTCGAAAATGCTCAACCAAATATCAGTTGGAAGATTATTTGATGATGATAACATGTATTTACAACCATTAAATGAATATGTGACTTACGCTGCAGATAGATTTTCTAAGTTTTTTAAATCTGGTATGTGAAAATTAAGACTAAATAATTTTATTGATGTGTGTTATATACGAATTATTAAAATAATTAATTACATGCACATATATATCTATATATAGTTACAGAAATTGAGGATCCAGAAACATTTTTTGGTATCGATGAATTTAATGATTTAACACGCACCAATAAACCGATAATTTATATTTCGCCAAATGAAGTATTTTCCATACATAATTTATTAGTTCAACGTATTGATGATATTGCACCAGATCACTATGATATGATAAGGCAAATTATACATGAATTAGGTGATTTACCACCATTGCCGGATGATGATGATTCATTTGATCCGAACACAAAAGAGATTGCATTAACATTGACAAGCAGATTATCGTTGAAAACGATCAACGGAGAAGACTCAGAAATTAAGCATTTATTTGTTGAAACAAAACGATATGTATTGGCAATTATGAAAGTACAAAATGGTAAAAATTTATTGGATATTTTAGTTAAAGCGGTTACATTAGCAGATGAAAAGACTTACGAAGAATTGTGCAAATTAGATAAGCAAAGAAAACCAAAATATAATAATTCATTTTCAAATATCATTAACAATAACATCAATAGAAGTAATAGTAATAGTAGTAATAGTAATAGCATAATAAGTAATAATAGCACAAATTCTGGAGAATTACATGACATTAGCAAAATGAAATTTTTAGACCTAAAAAAACTGACATTACATAATATATTGAAATTAGAGAATGGAGGTATAATTACAAGAAAAAATGATTACCAAGATATATTAAATGCCATCGCTACAGATATCAGGAATAAGCATAGAAGAAGGATACAAAGGCAAAAAGAGTTAAGGCAATTGAAACAAACATTAATTAACTTAGAAGAGAAGAGATCTCACCTTGATGAGCAAATAAAAACCTATAATGACCACATTGACGTTTGTATGCAACAATTATCTACAAAGAAAGGGTAAGTATTTTTAATTTATATAATTCTATATTTTATTACTTGGAATTGTTATTTATAGAATTATTTGTATAACCTTGTAGCAAAAAAACCCGGTTGGTTTTGCCATTTACTCGTCAATACTTTCATATACGAGAGTTACAAAGGTCAGGAAGAGTGCCAAAATTTGGGTCTTACAAATACACAGCTCAAAAATTATACGAGAAAGGTGTGCTGTTATCAATTTCTGGCTATTCAAATTTTGACAAATTAAGCCTTACAATTTCATCTGATGAATTGGGAATATTTAAAATTGAAGTATCACTTAGCGGGATTAATCTACCAGGTGCAAACATGGAACTAAGATTAGAAGATCTATTACAAAGTCAATTTAATAATAGTCAAGTAATGAGCTTGTTTGATGGTATAGCTAAAGTCAATGTTAATTTGTTAATTTATTTAATTAATAAGAAATTTTTTGTGTGAATCCATTCCATTATTTATTATTTATTCTTTATAATTTTTTTAAATCAAATAATATTATCGTTTAGTTATTTATTATACTTGAGCATGTACATATTAATTATATCATTAAAAGGATTTGATCATGTGACGGTTCTTAAATGTTTTATATTGAAATAGATAGACACATAATAAGCTCTGTTCTGAGGGGTATTGATATTAATATAATTAAATTATTTAAAAAAAAAATTTTCAAACACAAGCACAAAATCTAATCATCATTTTTGTTCATCTGAAGTAAAGTTAACAAAGCCTGAGATAAGTCAGTTTAAAAATCAACAAATTATTCAAATCATCAAACACACAATCATCATTTATCAAATAATCCACATATCTACTTTCTATTAACAATTCTGCTTTTGTAAAAGATAAAATCCTACCATTATTTTGTTAGTTGTATCCATTGATTATTGGTTTTCACATTAATTTCATATTGATTGTCAAACCAGGAAATTGTTCTTAAAGCCATTGACATTGTAATAATTAATTTAAACCCACAAATATAAATTAGATCCTTTAATACCTGGGGAATAAAATATAAAAAACATTGACATACTTGTCATGTTTTGTTGGATTATTGCCAGATTCAATTTCTGGTCATCATCCGCGTATTAATATGTATATCTTTGTGATGAAATAAAAAATAGTTTCCATTACCAAATTTCCATGATATGTTCTAATTTTTTTATATAAACATATAAAATTCATACAAAAATAATTATTAAAACCAGCCTTTTAAAAGTTTAAAAGCTTCCATAGTGTCAACAGGTCCATACGTAAAAAGAACAAAATTTATATATAATCATTTGGTTTTGACAAACACTTTGCAATAGTTACAATAGGAGCATTGTTATTGTTTTCGTCAAAATATTTATTTATTATATAGCTTTTTTAATATTTTGTATATATTATTTTTCGAGGATCCTAAAGACTATTAATTGACGATCCGTCAGTGAATTAGTGGTCGACGTGAGAAAAAACTCTAATCGGTAACCTTTTATAATAGAAAAGTTACTATGTTTTTGTCTTTGCAAAGATAAAACTTTTTTTATAAAATAAATATCGATCTGATAAAAAATAATTAACTATTACGATATTAATATTAATATAGTGCGTGCCATCTAGACACCAAATGCTTGCGTCACAATGCCAAATCCTCAAATCCTAAAATAGCAATGATACTCTTTGGCGTCACGGGATTATAGGTTCTTGTTATCAGGTAGATCCGACGTATTACTGGCAGAAATAAAAATTTTTTTTTCTTTAATTCAAACGTATTTCTTATTACAGTATTATTAAACAATAAACTGATTGTATCACATGATTATAATATAAAGTTGCAAAAATAAGTTTGTTTATTTCTGCCAGTGATTACATAGGAACTGCCTGATAAAAATCATTTATCATATTCGTTATGAAAGTTTATTCAATAAGTATAAAACAAATACAATAAACGAATATATAATAATAATTCGAATAAATGAAAAAAACAAATAATTCGAATAAATGAATAAAAAATGAATAAAATGAATAAATGAAATAAAACAAATAAAATGAATAATTCAATAATAATTCAAAATAAAATGAATAAAACAAATAATTCGAATTAAGATTGAATAATTTGAATAAGAATTTGCTAATACTAATGATTATCAACATTAACCAGGACAATTGGTTTGTCCACGATTTACTATCTCACAATATATTATATGATATATTGATAAGTACATCACTTCAACTTGTTAATGCTATGAAAAATCAATTTGAAAAGGGTAAGAAAATAAATAATACCATAATGAATATGTATGATAACAATGATTATTAAAAATTACATTTATTTTTTTGTCAAAAATCATTATTTTAGTGTGCATATTGTGATAAAATGTATGATAAAAAATAGATATAAATATAAAGTACAAAAGTATAAGTTCTCCATCTCTGCACACAGCCCAAATAACCCTATCGCGGTGTTAATGCTAAGCACTACCAGCACAGCCTAAGATATTCTAACCAAGGTAGGATAGTATTTAATTAAAGATAAGGGTTGCTTTTAGCAAAGGTTTATATTCAAATGTTTTATTTATTATTAATGGTCAAGTTATTTAATGTAAAAATGTTATGTTTATTTTTAGCGATAATTAGGTTATTATTATTGTGTCATGGACATGATGATACGAACTTGGTCTAAACCAAGCATTTTTATACCTCTTGGGGTATTACAAATAACATGACTTTTACAATATCTTGTCCAATAAAAATACTGCTTATTAATTGCTAATGTTACCGGAATTAGACTTTAACGCAGATATTTTGGCCGAACCTCTTAATTCTGGGACAATTTAATTTTTATTTCTATTTTAATTATTTTTTTTTTTACATGATTTATTTTTATCATATTCTATTTTTATTTTTCTATTCATTTATTATTAACTTCGTGTAACAAATCGGATTTTATCTCGACCTTTTAATAATAAACTTGAACTTCACTATTAAGATAAAAAGAAATTACACCACTCAATGGCATTTTTTTTTAGTGAGTTAGCACACTGACGGTTAAGTTTCTTTTATGTCATATTAATAGGGTATCTATTTGATTATTTATGAATTTGAGTATTTGAAATTAAAATATATTTAATGTTTATTTGAATAAAAATTTATATTACAAATAGAAGCTCTACATATTAATATTAATAACAAAAAGATATAATTTAACAATGATGAATGACAATAATTGCATTGTTGAAAATGATGCCTCTTCAATTACTTCTTCAACAGGCACAGTGTAATGTGTGGAACCATTTCACAGTTGTAGATGGAAAAGCCAAATGCAAACTATTGCAAATATTTTTGAACCCATTTATTTCAAAGGCAACTCTTTTAAAATAATTCAGAATTCAAATTATTTTACATGGTATATATTTGAATTAGACCTGAATCAAATCATTTATAGGTTCAATTTTCATTGATTTGTTCAGATCCTTGATATCACTATGTTGCATAAATATATTCATCTTTATATATATATATATATATATATATATATATAGTTTTACCATTTTCACTTATTCACTGTCCATTATCTTTTGCATAAATTTGATGTCTATATCTTTGAAAATGGAGGAGGGATAATGATTTGAAAACAGTATATCATTTACTATGTAAATTATTATGCTGATCACAAAAAAATTTATATATATACATTAATTAGATTTGATTCTTAAAATGTCACACATCCAATATCCCTTCGAAATACAGTCAAACCTCGTTTCAACGAACCCATGGTACAGACCACCAAAATGGCAATGATTGATATTTCAGACATAATAATAATAATAAATAAATATTAAATACATCTTCAACATTCACAACAGATGTGGTCTTTTTAATTTTGCTTAATGTGAATTTAGTTCAATTTTAATCCATTTATCAGACTTTTTCAATATGTCACTAACTTGACCTGCACTAACTCCATATGTTTGTGCTAATTCAATATTTTTTGGTTAGGTTTAGTTTGTTTTAATAAAGATAATTTGCATTTTTATTCAGCAGTGATATATACACGTTTTTTAATGGGTGGTGATGATGATTGTTGTTGAGACATTTTCAAAGATTTTAATTGATGAAGAGTTTAAGAAAATTTTAATTATGTAAGATTGTAAGAATTTGATTAAAAAAATCTTTTTTATTATTTGGAAATTTGGATAAAATGTAGAAATTTGGCTTTAACTTTATCACGTGAATTCGTTATAATGCGAAAATCTTACCAATAAATTCGTTGTCTGTTGTTAATATAAAACTCGTTGAAGCGAAAATTCGCTGGAATGAGGGTTTGACTGTATATTCAACTACATTTATCTCCTCAAAGGCTAAAACTTTATCCCTACAGATGTAGGTCTGCATATGGTTTTTTTTTACCTTTACTAAATTTGGTAAATTAAATTTTATTGTTCCAATTTTTAAGTTAAGAGGTTCGGCACCAATGTATAAATATGAATTTGCGACATATATAATACCATTGTTTTTAAACTTTAATGGAAAGGTATCTCAATTTTATTAAGTGGGCGTAGTTTCTAAGCCAAAATTGTTCTACGCGAGAAATTACATTCAGCAATGACATTAACTCAAAATCGTTACTATTTGAAAAGCCCCGTATATAAATTTGGTTAGCGCCACCAATTATCGTTAATTAACGAGTTTCAAATAGCACTAATATCTTTAAAAATTATGAAAGATAACTCTGTCTACACTTACCACAAGACTCCGGGGCAGTTTTTATAGCTAGCTGAATATTTAATGACTCATATGGCGTATTTCAGTGATTCTTTCATTTTGTTCCAAGTTCGGAAGGTAGGTCTTTTGTAAATTATAAATAGGATATAGACTTGTAAAAAGTTTTATACGACTATTGTAAATGAGAGGTTCGAATCAATAATAACGATTATTACCAACACCCTCCTTTTATGATGAATGAATAATATGAATTATACTTTTTATGGAGTTATTATTATTCACGATATTAATATAAATTAAACCCGTTATTATTTATTGTATATATTGAGAAAGAAGCGTGTGGGGTAAGGAATGTTTTTATGTTAGATGAGAATCAATACTATTTCAATATTAATCAAAAAAAAAAAATTTTTTTTTTTCTTTTATATATATGTCTCCTCCCCCTAAAAAAAACTAAAACTTTAAAACTTTTTTAAAAAAAAAATTTTTTTTTATCCTTTGATTAATAAATATAATAACAATAACAATAATAATCATGACTCATACTAACGGCCATCAATATAGCAGTAGTGAACTTATAAACTTAGAAAATAGCTATGGCGCTCACAAGTAAATTCTAATATACATTATTGTTTTTATTTGTGTCTATTGATTGATTGATTGATTGATTGATCGATTAATTTATTAAAATTTTTTTGATAACAAAATGTAATTGATCATATCAATCATAGTTACCATCCACTCCCTGTTGTATTTTCCAAAGGGGAAGGTATTTATGTGTGGGACCCAGAGGGTAATAAATATATGGATTTTTTAAGTGCATACTCTGCAGTAAATCAGGGGCATTGTCATCCCAAAATTGTTAAAGCACTTTGTGATCAAGCTCAAAAACTTACTTTGAGTTCAAGAGCATTTTATAATGATGTATTCGGTAAATATGCAAAATATGTCGCCGAGGTAAAAATTAATATTCAAAATTTATTGATGATCTAAAAACATGTTACTTAATAATAATAATATATATTATGTATTTTAGTATTTTAATTATGATATGGTTTTGCCAATGAACACTGGAGCTGAAGCAGTAGAGACAGGAATCAAACTTGCCCGTAAATGGGGATATGTTAAGAAAGGTATCCCAGAAAATAAGGCAATGGTCATATCTTGCACAAACAACTTTCATGGAAGGACAATTAGTGTCATCTCCATGTCAACTGATCCTGATTCACGTCGAGAATTTGGTCCTTTTATGCCACTTGTTGGTCCTATTTGTCCAGCAACTGGTAAAAAAATTGAATATAATTCAGTTAAAAATTTAGAAGATGCATTGGAAGCACATGGTAAACATATAGCTGGATTTTTGGTGGAGCCAATTCAAGGTGAAGCTGGGCAAGTATTGACTTTTTTTTTAAAGGAAAAGTTTTTCTTTACTAATAATAATAAAACTAAAAATAAAATTTTTATTATTATAATTATAATTACCATGTTATAGTATATATGTACCAGATGAGGGCTATTTGAAAAAATGTTATGACCTTTGTAAAAAACATAATGTTTTATTTATTGGAGATGAAATTCAAACAGGATTAGCCCGTACAGGCAAAATGATTTGTTGTGAACATGAGGGAATACAACCAGACATATTATTATTGGGTAAAGCACTGTCTGGAGGAGTTTATCCGGTATCAGCTGTTTTGGCTAATAAAGAAATTATGTTGTGTATTAAACCTGGTGAACATGGATCAACATATGGTGGTAATCCATTAGGGTGTGCAACAGCAATAGCAGCACTTGAAGTGATTAAAGAAGAAAATCATGTGGAAAAATCAGCTGTATTGGGAGAGAAATTCCGTAAAGCTTTGCAAGGTATCAATTCACCATTGATTGAAAAAGTGAGAGGGAAGGGTTTATTGAATGCAATAGTGATTAATGAGAAGACTGATAAAAGTGCATGGCAAATATGTTTATTACTTAAGTCACGAGGTTTATTGGCTAAACCAACTCATCGTAATATTATTCGATTGGCACCACCATTATGTATCAGCTCTGAGGAGTTGATGACTGGTGTTAAGATTATTGAAAATGCATTGAAAGATATTGTGGAAATGGATGTTGCGGAAATCCCTGGTTATTTGGATGATTTGAAATTAAGCAATGCTCATTAATTAATTAGTATTATTTGGATTTCTTGGAAAAAACACTTTTCAAAAATAATAAAAATAATAAAACAATAATAGATTGATATAATAAATTTTTTTAATTGATAGTACTTCAATTAATTATAAATATTAATGTTACTAATTAAATTCTAAAAAAATATTAGACAATGATTCTAGTATAAATTTCTTGTTGGGTGCAGCTTTAATAGCAATATTTATTTGATAAATTAAATTGGTTTATAGTAAAGTAGAATTAGTATAACTATAGTCAAAGATATAACTTTGGAAATATTAAAATATTATTTAAAAAGATAGATCAGACAACTGTTATCATACTAATTGATTGTTGAAAATTGTCAATACTATTGTGATAGTATTCTTTGAAGATGTGATTTTGATTTATAAAAATGAATTATTTCTTTTGTAAAATTTTTTCAACTTGTAGCAATCAAGTAAATATAAACAACACATGTTTAAAAATTAATTTACTTGAAAATCTGATCTAATGTAATGCTAATACTAAGGTCAGCCAAATAACCTGAAAACAAGTAATTAATCAACAATCAGAAAAACCATATAGTAATAGTAATTATTTGTCCGAGTGAGTTGTTAAAACTACAAACATGCCCAACCCAAAAGAATATCTATAATGTAAAAAGTTACATAAAGAGCAAAGTTCATTCTTGTTACATATTTTTGAGTAATATCATTTACAAAAATTTCCAAGTTTTGAGGTTAATATGTAAAATATAAAATAGCGATCCATCTTTTCCTTAAAAGTCGTGTAACACTAATTCGTGTAGTATTTTGCATATTAATATATTAAAGATGTCTGAAGAAGAAGTAAAAAGGTTGCTTAAATTAGTGGAGGAATCGTTTAATGAAACTATAACCGTCAAATTAGCAAAAAAAAAGATAAGCGAACTTCCTGTTGAAGTTATAAACTATGCAAATAATTATAATGTTGATAGGTAATGAATGATTAAATTTTTTTGAGTGTAATCGATTATCAAAAAGATTTAACCCATTTTTTTTATTTTATTTGGATGTAATAAATAAATAGATTGTCAATTGAAAGCAATCAATTGTCAAAACTTCCAAATGAAATGTCTAATTTTACACATTTAAGATATCTTAATCTTTCTCAAAACCTTTTTATGGAATTTCCAGAAGCAGTAATAATTGATCTATTTTATCTTTATTATTTCATTTAAAATTAAAATTATTTGAATATATATGCTAATGTATATGTATATATTTAAAAAAAATAAGCTTTGTTTAATGCCAAGTTTAAAAATTTTGGATATTAGTAAAAATAAAATTCGTAAACTACCCCAAGATTTTGGAAAATTGATGACATTACAGGTAATAAAATTGATGGTAAATAGTAAAAGAGAAATTTTATTAAAAAAAAACAATTTCTTTTTTTTTATTAAAAAAATTAGTTGCTGAAAATTTCAAAAAACCAAATAAAAAGAATACCAAAATATTTTGCAGATATGAAAGATTTGCAATATTTAAAAATTGATTACAATCCAATTAAATTTCCACCAAAAGTTATCCATATGATGCCAAAAGGCGAAGATAAAGATGTTATGCTACCTTGGTTAGAAAATTTAAAGGAATATCTTAGACAAAATTCAGGCAAGCTTATTAAATTAATTTTTGCACACAAAAAGGCATGGATTAATAATTTAATTATTTTCTATTTTTATCTTAGATCAAACTGAGTTAGATGAAGGCAAAAATAGCAGGTTGGTTTTAAGATATTTACATATAAATATTTATTAATAGGAAATGATCAAATATATATCAACATTATTATTATATTAGCAGTGAAGAAGAAATGGATTATCAGTTTGATTCACAAAATAATAGTGATAATAAACAATTAAAAAAAGCAACGTCAGTTGATAATATTAATTACTTGTCATCTAATGTTAGCACAAGACAAATAGTTGATGGTGCTGGGTCATCATCATCTTTAAAAACAATCAAAGAGAATGACCAAATGATGTCAAAACAAGAGAAAAAACGCCTTAATCCAAAATTAAGTTTGGATTTACAACCTGTTCGTCGTAGTCGAAGTCACAGTAATGATTTTGATGCAACATTAACAAATTTTAGAAATACATTTGTTAAACATTCAAAAAGTGTATCCACAGATTCAATAAATTCAACACAGAATCAAAGTAGTATTATTGAAGAAAAACAAAGTGATTATTATTTCCAAAAACTTAGGACACTTCCTCCATCAGACCATCTTCAAATGAGTGATATTTCACTGAGAGAAGCTAGCCGAAATATTTTATATGCATTTTCACAAGTTCATAAAGCAATTTGTCAATTTGCAATTGTTACAGGAAATGAAAAAATATTTATGAATGATCTTAACAAAGCAACAACACTGATTGGACAGTTAAGTGCAGCATTGGAAAAATATGATAATTTTGTATTACAAGCACCACCTGGTGCAGAATATTGTATCAAATTGCTTAGTACATGTCAAGAAAGTATAGCTAGTTTTAAGACATTAATGGAACTTTTGAATAAACGACTCAAATCACTTACACAATCTTCAGATAATATGAGATATTCTCGTACACTTCTATTGATGCTTCATGGAGCAGTTGCAGATATTAAATTTGCATGGGAATTAATATTTCCACTATTAAATGTTCATACACCTTATACTGGAATGTCTACTCCTTTTAGATCAAAATCCATGTCACGATCAAATAGCAGTAATCTTGCTAATGTTGTACCGCACTCAGCAGGTGCTGCTTCATCATATTTTTTTGCTATGCCATCATCACCTTACAATAATTTAAATACACCTACAAGTGCAGGATCACCAAATAACCCGAATACAGATTTTTTATTTTCAATAGCTATATTTGATCAACTTCTTTCAAAAGTAGAATTTGCAATTAAGGCTGTAGAAAATGTTATAAAATGTTTGTCAGATAATGTAAAAGATGTTTTAGAACCCACCAGCGAAGATCAGGTGGAATCCTCATCATCTATCAAAGATAAGATGAATGAATTGATAAAAGATGCAAATGAAGTTACCATACACTTAAAAAAATCTTTATTATCAGTAAAATCATCTACAAGCAATAATAAAGATGACCCATCCATACAACTTAAAGTTTATGATGATACACTGGTTTTTCTTCAGGTAAATAATACTTTTTATTTGTTGTATGTTTATTTAAAAATCATTAATTACATTATTAAAATCAAAAAAAATTTATTATTAGACAACAATTAAATTATGTGAATTCGCAAAGGATGTTTCACACAAATGGCAATTGAGTAGCAAAGTTAAAGCAGGGCTAAGCCATGTGATGAAGTCTTATACCGAATTAACAGATTTATTAAATAAAAGTCAAGTGTTAGATAATACTTGATAATTTAATTTAAACAAAAGAATATTTAATTTAATTTAATTCTACTTTAATAAAGTCTCATGAATTTTTTCAAAAAATAGAATTTAAGATACCATCTTTCTAAAAAGTAGGATCTAGTGGTTCAATATTAATATTAATATTAAAAGTTCGCGTGTTTTTACACATAAAAAAAAATATAATTTAGCGCCTGATTTTTTGGCTAAAATTACAGCATTGTTGGTGTAGATCATTAGTTTCCGCTAGCACTTTGCTGTAACATTGCTAAAAATTTTATTTTTGAGAAATACTCACCACACATCAATAATTCAAAATCCATGAAGAAGTCATTGAATAGAACATTCAATTGAGATATCAAATAAAACAAAAAGTTTGTACAACAAAACTACATTCTGATAAATGGAAGAACTGGTGTCAAAATTTCGTAGTTTATGCTATCTTTTTAGATGATTTATTTAAATACATCTAATTAATTGTTTTAATCAAAGGATGACGAGCTAGCTTTAAATTAACTATAGGTTAATTACGTGTATAACTTTTAAATTTTTAATAATGTATTTAGATTTTTATGTATTTAGATTTTTAGATAAATAAACGTGATTACAAGGCCTCATTTTAGTATATAAATAAAAATTATGGTGCCATTAGAAATGGTTTTATATTTTAAGTTAACTGGTATCAAGAATATTGGAAATCGCTTTATGAGATAACCAATAAAGCTACTATGTGGTTATCTATAAAAAATATTTGTAATTGCCAACCCGTCAATAAAATTGCAGTTGCAATGCTTTTTGTGGATAACTACATTATTATGTGTTATACGAATAAAAGGGTATTAACACGAAACCATAAAAAAACACAAATAATTTGCTGTCCATCTTAAGTTAGTTGTCAGCACTACATGCTGAATCTGGGCCAGTGATATCTTTGAACACTTCTTTAAATTCTCTTAACACCGGCCTTGTTATCAAATCTTGATCTCAATGCATTCGCAATGACTTACAATATAAAGTTCATAAAGAAACAGAGACCAAAGTTATATTAAAAAAAAATATAAAGAGCATCTGGCAAAAGTTCAATAAAATGTCAAATTGTTTGAAAACTGTGATAACGGGTGGCGCATTCTTCTGATGAAGATGAAAATGAAAAGATCCTGCCGGTATACTCAGTATGATCTTTGATGATTGAATAAAGGTGAAAGATTAATTGCAATAATGCTGATGGACTATTTGGGTTTGATTATATCAAATATTTATTACATACTACTAATACAGTAATATCTATTTGCCAAATGATACGCGCAGTGAGAGGGCGCAACAGGCGCAGGCTTGGTACCTTAACATTTAGAATTTTCCTATTGCTATTACTATTACTATATATAAAATTCCGAAAAAAAAAGAGCTGCCCGATATTTTTCCTTTTCTTTTTTATAAAACTTTTAACGAAAAAAATTATATTCTTCCGGAAAATTTTTTAGCATTCTAATTTATAATTATAATTATAATTTTATAATTATAATTATAATTTTATAATTATTATAATTCAGGAGAAATTTCCCGTTTTTTTTTATTTCCGACCCTGGTTGTGTTGCCATTTAATTTTACGCGTATAATAATAATGATGAAAGATTCGTGTCATATCATTGTAAATCATAATAACATTTGTAACATACTATTAATAAATTTACATCCCCTTGCTTGTTAATCGTTATGATTTTGTTTATTAATCCAAAAAAAAAAATATTTTTAATATCGAAAGTCTTTACAAAAATAAAATGAAACCAATATCAAAAAATAATAAATCCTCTCATTTAAAAACAATTGTCAAGAATTATCAAAAACCATGTCCTCCTCGCCAAACTAAATTTCTAGATTTTAGTGAGGTTCTTAAGAACCCTCCGGTCGAAGGAAATGCAAGACTTAAAAAAAGAGGAACAGCAACTAAACCGATTGTTATCCAAGACACATTCGAGTTACAACAAATTAGAGCGCAACAACAACAAAAAGCAAAAATGGAGGCTGAAAAAAGGCTTAAGCCAAATGTTAAAAATCTCTACAAAAAAGTGTTGTCTTGGGACTTAAATTCATCTGGCGATTTCCCTCCTAATATGGACAAAAGAAAATTCAAGGATATACCTGATATATTTAAATCTACTGAAGAATACTTGAATATATTTCAACCATTATTGATATTGGAATGTTGGCAGAATTTTCTCAATGCAAAAGATGAAATGGATGAAAATGATTCGTTTACTTTTGTTGTTGATAGTGCCATGATGGTACATGAATTTATAGAAATTTATGTAACTGCAGAACCATCGTCATCTAATGAATTGACATGGGGCGACAATGATCTTTTATCAATGAGACAATTAACATTACCAGATGAACAGGATAAATTGAAAAATCAAAATAAAGAATTCTTAACAATAGTTAAAAATATAAATGGTAATAAAATTACATTGTTAGCCTATTTAGCTAATGATATCAAGGAAATTCGACGTGAATTAATATCATCAAGTAGATGGAAAGTCATAAAAGTGTCAAGGTAAATTTTTAATATTATGGAATTAATGCTTTTGGATTATATACATTTGGAATTAAAATATGTGTACAATAGTTTAACACCTGCTGTACGTGAATATTCTGCTTTAATTGGGTTACCATATTATCACTGGCGTGATTTCATTTTGAACCCAAAAAAATTAACATCAATGCTTAAAGTGCCATCTGGCAACATAAATAAATATATGGAGAATTATCATATTAATATATCACAAGCTGAGGCAGTTTGGAAAGTTGTAAATCAAGAAAAAGGGATTACACTTATTCAAGGACCACCAGGAACAGGAAAGACCTCAACAATTGTTAGTATGGTTAGTGAATTAAGAAATATTTCTAGAAACTTCAAATCTCGTGTTCTGGTTTGCGCTCCAAGTAATGCGGCAGTAGATGAATTGGAAAAACGATTTAAACAAGGTATAAACAATAGACGGGGCGATTTGATCCAAACTAAAGTTCTTAGATTTGGAAAAAATGAAGATTTTGAAAGGAATGCAGATTCAGAACTAAGATCAAGATTAAAGAAACTGGAAAATGAAATATTACAAATTGAACAAAAATTTATTAAGTCAATGAATGATGATGTCTCTCAATTGTCTTCTTTGAAAGCAAAATCAAATCGTTTGAAAGATGAGAAAAAATACATTAGTGATGAGTTGACAAAATTAATTGCTACAAACAGTAAATCAGAAAAATATGATATATATAGAACTTGGACTAGCAAAGAAGATTTGTATGATGCAGATATTGTATGTGCTACATTGGCTGGAAGTGGCCATGAAAGACTTTTGAATATGGCCAATGACTTTGAGACTGTGATAATTGATGAAGCAGCACAATCAATTGAATTATCTAGTTTAATTCCATTAAAGTACAATCCTAAAAGATGCGTAATAATTGGAGATCCTAATCAATTGCCTCCAACAGTTCTTTCTCAAAAAGCAACAGAATTCTCATATGACCAAAGTCTCTTTCTTAGATTTCAAAAGCTTGTGCCTGAATGTATACATCTTTTAAATACACAATATAGAATGCATCCTGATATAAGTAAATTTCCTAGTGACTTGTTCTATAATTCTGAACTAAAAGACGCAGATGACTTATCTGAAAAAAAAACACAGCCATGGCATGGAAACAAATTTTTTGGCCCTTATAGATTCTTTGATATACAAGGCTCAATGGGATATGATAAAAGTTCAATATATAATAGAAAAGAAGCTCACATTATATTACAATTATTTAATATGTTGGTCAAAGAATATCCAGGTGTTGATGTAAGTGTTCTCCTTGATATTTTACTATATATTAGAATGATTTGTATTTTATTATTATCATTATTATTGACCTTAAATAGTTTAAGGGAAAGGTAGGTATTATTTCTCCATACAAACGACAAGTATCTGAGCTCAAGAGACTTTTTAAATCAAGACTTCCACATGACTCATATTTATCAATAGATTTTAATACTGTTGTGAGTTTTTATTTTCTTAAAAAAAATTTTTTATTCGTTGAATTCTTAAAATTAATAATGATTAATTTCTGATATCAATTTAATGAATTTTTTAGGATGGTTTTCAAGGGAGAGAAAAGGATATTATAATATTATCATGTGTTCGTGCTGGCGATGGTAATATATATAATATAATGAATGATACCATGATTGAAATGCAAGTCAATACTGATTGATGTCTCTTTTCATAATATAGCAAAAAGTATAGGATTTTTAAAAGACTTGAGAAGAATGAATGTTTCATTAACACGAGCCAAAAGTTCATTATTTATTGTTGGAGATTCAAAATCTTTAGAAACTAATGAAAACTGGAACAAACTAGTTTTAGATGCGAAGGAGAGAAATTTATTTACAAATGTATGTAATTGTTATTTCTACTCTCTGTATTTTTACTGAAACAATTAATAATAAATAACATTAATTACCATAGTGCTCAGATATCGAATATTGTAATTTTTTTAATTTATTTGGTGGAGTTGGTGGTACTAGTGGTATTAAGGTATGTATGTAAATAAATAATTTTATTATTTGCAAAAATTTCTGTTAATTTTTTTTCCGTTCTTCATTGAAAAGACTAATTATTACAGAGCCAATCATTCTGATAACAAAAATAAAAACAATAATTATAATAATAATAGTTTTAATCACAATTATGACAACAGAAACAGCCACAACTACAACTACTATCATAATAATAACTACCATAATGACTATAATAATAGCTACGATAACAACAACTATCGTAAAAGGGTTCATGAAAAGAGTAATGATGAATCTAATAATAATGATGATAGCAATATCCCAAAGAAAGCCAGAATTGACTAAATCATTTATGGAAGATTACTTGAAACATAGATTCTAGATAGATTTCGTTATAGATTTATTTTGCTTAAATATCTTATTATTACAATTAATAAACAAAATGAATAATTGAACATGTTGTATGTAATATCATTTCAAAACCTTGGTGCTTTTGGAATATAATTGTCCAAGTGTCCTAAGATGACTGGAATAAGATGGTTAGAACCTGTTGGTTGGTGTATGTATTGGTGGTAAAATTCATTTTGGGTGCAATTCGCGTTATCTCATGTTCAGGTCTTCAGAGTAAAAATTTTAAATGTGATTTTTTCTTTTTTCCCTTCGTTGTTGCACATTATTTCCAAATTTGGTTGGTTTGGTTCTACAGATCGATATAAGATGATTTTTCTCCAAATTCAAAGGTTTGAGTATTTTCTCGGAAGTACACAGGCAAACTCGATAAGTCGGCCCGCAGTAATCAATTGTTTAAAGTACTTGATAATATAAATTATGCGGCCGACTTATCGAGTTTGCCTGTGTATTGCGTAAAAGTTATCATAATAATAAAAATGGTATTCTCAATATTTCTGTTATCCTCCAATTGAAATTTGTAGAACCGTCAAAAATCACACAAAACAATAAATAACTACCGATTAATATATTTTATTTTGGGATTGGTATTACTGTCGTATTACTAATTATATTAATGACCAAAAGCGTTTGATGTAACATTAAAAAAACTCATATTAAAATGAAATGTCATTGATGTAATTAACTGCAATGACCGATCACCTGATTTCAATGTTCATTACAAAAGAATTACATCTTCGGCAGAATGGTTTTACCCCAGAGAAAAAAATTCCCTTTCTAAAATTGCTAATATAAAAAAGCAGTTCTATTACTTTTTTGGTAGTTATAAATCATAGAACAAATGATCATTAAAATTTCTCGCGTTTTTTCATTGTTAAAAAAAAAGTCTCCCTCTTTTTTTGTTAATATATATAAACAATTATTTATGCTTCAAAATAATTTTAAAACTTTGATAAATCATAAAAATTTTTTTGGTTCAAATTATCATAATCATATTTATAATCATACTAAATCAGCAATGGCAACAACTATTACAATGAAATCATCATCAAAAGCAACAATACCAAAATCATCACCATCAAAAGCAACAGAAACTACAATGCAAGCAACATCACCGTCGTCGACAACAATATCATTACCAACTTTTTCTTCATCAAAAAGATTTTCAACAAGTTTCTCTTATAAACAATTTTATCAAAAAATTTTAAAATCTAAAATGGCAAGTACAGGTCGGTTTATCTAAATTGATGAAATCTTGCATCTATTTATTTAACATGTCGTTCAATTAATACCCTCATTCTTTACACACACACACATAATGCAGATGACAAACAATCAAAAATACTTACCTATGAAACAATTAATTCTCACGTTAGGAAGGCAGAATATGCTGTTCGTGGAGAATTAGCAATTCGTGCTGATAATATTAAACAAGAATTATCCAAAAAATCCAATAGATATGATTTCAGTGAAATTGTAAGCTGTAATATTGGTAATCCACAACAACTTGATCAAAAACCAATCACATTCTTCCGTCAGGTAATTGACTAATCTAGTTATTAATTAATTATTTTCTGTTTACTATTTGAATTATTTACATTTCTAAATTTCATTCCTGTTGATTTGATAGGTTATTTCTTTGTTGGAATACCCTACTCTTTTATTACCAGAAAATTGGAATATAGCTAAGCAATTGTATCCTTTGGACGCAATCGAACGAGCAAAATTATTATCAAAACATATAAAAAGTGTAGGCGCCTACTCTCATTCTCAAGGTGTATTACACATAAGACAAAATGTCGCTAAATTTATAGAAGGTTAATACTTTTTTCGATATAATTAATTCATTCGATAGAAATATTAATAATATTGTGTGTCTTTAATTACTAATATTTCCACAGAGCGTGATGGATATCCAACAGATCCAAATAACATTTTCCTTACTCAAGGCGCATCTATAGCGATTCAACATGTACTTCAGCTTATAATATCAAATGATAATGTCGGTATTATGATTCCTATTCCTCAATATCCACTCTATACTGCCACACTATCATTATTTAATGGTAATCCAGTCCCTTACTATTTGGATGAAGATAATGGTTGGAAGTTAGACATCAAAGAGTTAGATGAATCATTCGTAGAAGCCAAGAAAAAAGGATTAGATGTTAGAGCACTTGTGATAATAAATCCTGGCAATCCAACGGGTCAATGTCTTTCTGAGGATAACATTAAAGAAATCATCGAGTTTTGTCATAGTAAAAGAATAGTTATTTTGGCTGATGAAGTCTACCAGGCAAACATCTATCAACCTGCCGAAAGACCATTCCGATCTTTCAAAAAAGTTCTCAAATCAATGGGAAAAGATTATGAAAATTTTGAATTGTTTTCTTTCCACTCTATCTCAAAAGGTGTTATTGGTGAGTGTGGTAAACGTGGTGGATATTATGAATGTACTGGCATCAATAAAAATGTGATTGATCAACTTTACAAGGTTGCTTCTATTAGTCTTTGTCCGAATATTAGTGGTCAGATTATGGTGGATTTGATGGTTAATCCCCCAAAGATAGGTGATGAAAGCTATCCGACGTATAAACAAGAAACAGAAGCTATTTACGAAAGTTTGAAAAGGCGTAGTCAAAAATTGTGTGATTTGTTTAATAAATTAGAAGGTGTAACGTGTAATAGTGCTCAGGTATATTTTTTTTTAATGTTATAATTCTTGTATATATATTATACTTGTTATACTAAACTTTTTTAAATAACAGGGATCGATGTATCTTTTCCCAAGAATTAAACTTCCACCAAAAGCAATAAAGATGGCAAAAGAATTGGGTAAACAACCTGATGAACTTTATTGTTTTGAGATGCTTGAGGCAACAGGTGTCTGTGTAATACCTGGCAACGGTTTTAGACAAAAAGAGGACACTTGGCATTTTCGTAGTACTTTTCTTCCACCAGAAGAATTGTTTGATGGATTTTGTAAAAAATTAGAAGAATTTCATAAATCATTTCTTTTAAAATATAGTGGTGCTGATTAATTAATAAATTACATAATAATCATTAAAATGCTAATTAATCAATTATGGATGGGCTTGTCATATTAAATTAATTTATTTTTATTCTAATTAATTTTTTTTTTAATATTTATTTATACACATTACACATGTTTGTATCACGTTTTCCTCTTTTTTGGAAATCTTGCAAATGTCAAAAAATAAACTTGATAAAAAAAAAACAATATTTATTGTTCGTCTCTATCTCATCTCTATTGAAAAAAAATATCATCCATCAAAAAAATAACTTTTTACAAAAAATCTTTTTTTTCACAAAAAACCTTTTCACAAAAATATTAATTATTTTTAAGAAAA